GAAATTATTCTTCCATCATTTCAGTGTTCTTATTTTGGTTGGTATCGATTGCTAGAGAGCTGGTGTTCCCTTTTGGGGGTGTCCTTTCAGTTTGATTCTTCATGCTTCCAGAGTTCTTTCACTGATTCCTTCCCATCTCGAGCAGCTGTTGCTTCTTACCTTTGGATTTTCGTTTAGGTAATGACAATCCCAGTTTAGTCTCTGAGCCAGTAGGTGGTGTTTGTGTGTGAAAATCGACCACACCCTGTATGAAGAGTCAGTAGATGCAGTAAAAGCACGAAAATTGACCTCCTTGTCAATAGGTGGCGCTTGCTGAGAGAGCAGGCTGCAGTGTTGTTTTTGGTCCTGTAAGCATCTCTAATTCCTCTGGAGAGGCACTCCAGTGCCTCAGGTGGTGGTTGGGGCCCTGGGATATCCAGGTGTGTCCTTATTGTCCACTTCAGCAGGGGCCAGTGGGGGAATGAGGCTGGGAGGGGCTGGGTTGGGTGAGCCTACCCTCAAGCCCCACAGACGCTTTCAGTAGGGGTCAAAGGTCTTTTCACTGCAAAGCTGCCAGGGAGATGCTGAAGTGGCCCCACTCAACCAAAAAGTCTGCATGTGAGGGAGGGGCTGCGTGAGACCTGCAGTCTGGCAGTCTGGAGCAAGCCTCACTCCCTTCCACCCTTCCCTATTCTGATTTTTCTTCTAGGCCTCTGCTGGCAGGCAGGACCTCAGGCCAGCTGAGCTCCCCATGATTGTGATGTAGGCCAGGAGGTTCCCTGCCCAAGATCACAGCCTGAACTGGGAGCTTGGCCCTCCTGTGGGAGAGGGGAGGTGCCCTTTAAGCTCACTGCAACTAGAACCCACTCTGATCTGCCCCCGAAGGCACACACACCTCAGTAGATTAGTTCACAAATATCCTTTCTGTGCCCCCAGGCAGTACGATCGGGACCTGGGTGTACAGGATCTGGCCTGCAGGTTTGTCCCCTGGGCCCTGGAGATCAATCCCTGACCATGCCAAGGAGAAGAATACTGATCCCAGTCACCCATTGGGTGCCCAAGTTGGATCAATGTTTCTCTGCCTTGGGGTTTTCCCCACTTGCTGGAGTCATTTGTCAGGCAGCACCAGGGAGGGCCAGCAGATAGGGAGCTCACGGTCCCAGCACCCCTCCGTCCAGTGCAGGGCGCCAAAAGGAAAAGCTCCATTTCCTGTGGATGCCTCTGGGTGGTGGCTAAATTGTCTCTCTCAGCAGCTGCGGGTAGGGGAGGGAAAGGGGAGAATGAAGCAATATGGTGCGTGCTGATCGGCTCAGGTCTGTGGGGTGGGAGGTGCCCTGAGGGACCTGGGAGCCTGTGCCCTGTCCCCAAGAGGCACTCTACTCACTGGTGGCAGCAGTCTTTGGGCTGGTATTGGCAGGTCTCTCCAGCAGCTCAGGAGCCCGCCATCAGTCCGAGATGCACGGGAGGGGAATTTTAACCATTCTACCTACCCTTGTCGCTGGTCTCTGAGCCTCTCGGTGCTTAGTCCCTGCTGATGCCTTTCTCCTTCCAGTTCTGCTCCGCAACCTCTTCCCATGGAGTCTCCTGTAGGTTCAGGCACCCTTCCTTCTGACTTTTATCCAATCTATGTTTGTCTTCCTGTTTGTTTTGTTTTTCGCTTTCATCTGAAATCTCTCCTTGCAGAAATGCTCTGGCTGGAGGTGTTTCTCGTCTGCCATCTTGCCTCTCTCTCATCTGCAGTTTCTTTCCTCAGTGTTTCATAATTCTCATAGAGATCTTTCATCTCCTCGGTTAAGTATATTCCTAAGCATTTTATTTTCTTTGTAGTTATTGTGAACAGTATTGAGTCTTTCATTTAACTGTCAGCTCAACTATTATTGGTACACAGAAATGCTACTGATTTTTGTACCTTGATTTTGTAACCTGAGATTTGGCTGGATTTATTTATCAATTCCAGGAGTCTCTTGGTGGAATCTTTGGGATTTTCTAGATACAAGATCCTACCATCAACAAAAAGCAATAGTTTGACCTCTCTTTCCCAAATTGGATACACTTTATTTCTTTCTCTTATAGCTCTGGCTAGGACTTCAGTACTATGTTGAATAGAATAGAAGTGGTGACAGTGGGCACCCTTGTCTTGTTCCAGTTCATGCTGGGGAATGCTTTCACCTTTTACTGATTCTATATGATGTTGGCTGTGGGTCTGCCATATGGCTTTCATAATTTTTAGATATATTCCTTCTCTGCCTAGTTTGTTGCAGGTTTTTATCATGAAAGGGTGCTGAATTTTGTTGAATGCTTTTTCTGCATCTATTGAGATGATCATATGGTCTTTGTTTTTGCTTATTTATGTGGTGAATCATGTTTATGTGGTGAATCACAATAATAGTCTTGGTGGATTATTTTTTTGATGTGCTGTTGGATTCAGTTTGCTGGTATCTTGTTGAGGATTTTTGCATGTGTATTCATAAGGAATATTGGTCTGTAGTTTTATTTTTTTGTTGTGTCCTTTCCTGACTTTGATATCAAGGTGATATACTGGCTTTGTAGAATCAGTTGGGGAAGATTCCCTCCTCCT